AAATTTTTAACTTAAAATCTTAAGTTTTTAATCATTAAACTACTCTATTAGAGTTAATTTTCTCTTTTTCTTTTTAATGAACAAATTACAATCAAACCTACATACTAAAAAGGGAATAGGGAAGGAAATCACTAGGAACTTGAACTTCCAACCCGAGAAGTATTCCTACAAACAATCACATTGTAAACCACTCGATTTATGCGTGAGGAACCTCCCCTCTTATACCTTATAATTGTCTAATTTAAAAGAAAGAAGAATAAATCAAGAAGTAATAATTATTACAGGGATTAATTTACATTTTACCAACAACATCCTCTTTTAAAAGAAATCACAATAAAATCATGTAAACTTTTTAATTAGAAAAAATAACACCTAAAAATATTATTTTTATTCTTTATTTATTATAATTTAAAAATATATAAATACAAAAATTTACAAAATTAAAAAATATATATTTTTCTTAGATAAATAAACTAACTACTCCCTTAATAATGAATAAAAATTATATAAAAAAGTTAACATCACAACATTATCCTTGACTAAAAACATGATTGAGGGTGGACGGTAAAATTAATCATACACTACACATACTCCCTTGTAATAAATGACTTTGTCTGATTAGAATAGGTGGAAGATTTTGTTAATTGCATGGCCCACTAAATCTTTGATGAGATTAGGGCTTTGTAGAAAAATTTAAGTGATGGGTATAAAGTCTCACAAAAAAATTGGTTAAGGTGGGCCAGAGGATGATGTGGAACGTTGATCATATGTGAACGGCTGATGGCAACTTTGCAAGTGCGGTTAAGCATGGGGTGAGGAGGGGGGGAAGTGGAGATGGTGGGTTGGGGGCTGGTGCAGGTGGAGTTGCAGCCAGCCATGGCTGAAAACGTGCAAATTTTAAATAATTGTGGTGAAGCAAAGGGGGGAAAAGAGAGGTTGAATATGAGTACTGTGATTGGAAATCAACCCAGGCCGGCGCTCCACCCACTAAAATGGGGACCATGCATCACCTATATTTTTCCCAAATGAAGCGGCGTAGTCTTACCGACAGGGAAAGACACAGTTCTTTGCGGAATAACTCTTACTTTTTTATTAATTAAAATATCACATGATATTAATATTTGATTATATTGAAGAGATAATGTAACAAATTTGATTCAAATACAACATTTAATTCAATGAAATTTTACAATAATTGCAGTATATGTAAACTTTTTTTGTAATGTAAGATATTAAAAAAAAAATCCTTTTAGTAATGTCCTAAACTCAAGTTGACAAATAAGTGTTGGTGTTATTTGTACGTATAATAGAAGGTTACAAACAACTTCTAAGTTGAGTTTTTAAGAGCAAGTGGATTTTAGTCTCCAAAGTTATTTGGGTAATAAGACTTTTGCTGAATTGTTTAGTTTTAACCAAAATATCCTCATCATTTGGCTAGTATGTCAAAAATAAGAAAAATTAAGAGAAGTTTAAGTGCACATTTTTATTATTATATCTT